TATTGTTCATTTGTTGATTTCAAATTTGTTTCGTTGCTTTTTCGTTAATTCATTCATTCATTTATTCATTCATTCATTCATTTAATAGTTTGTTCGTTCGTTCGTTCGTTTGTTCATTCATTCATTCATTCATTCTTTCATTCAATCATTCATTCATTCATTTTTTCGTTCGTTTTTCCATTCATTCATTTGTTTGACTTCCTTTGTAATCAAATCAAATTCACCATTTTGCATTTGTTGGCCCGTCTATCTTTGTTTGGTATTGGGGGAAAGTTTCTCAAACTGGAGCGATGTTACAAGTGGGGTTCCTCAAGGATCCGTATTAGAACCTTTGCTATTTGTGATGCACATCAATGTAATTAACATACATCAACCTAGGAAGAAAGTCTGAAATTTCAAAATTTGCAGCTAACACTAAATTATGTGTTTTTGTAGACAACCTTGAAGATATTGAGGTTCTGGCAGGCGATCTGCAAAAAATATGCAAATGGGCAGAAGATTGGCAGATTGTATTCAACACCGACAAATGGGCAGTCGTACATATGGCAGCGAACAACGAGGCAAGTGTATTCAAACTCGGAGACACGCCACTGAAAAATGTAGAGGAGGAAGAGGATCCTGGGGGGGAGAATTCATCGGGATGGTGAGGTAGGGCAGAGATGCATCGAGGCAGCCAAAAGTGGAAAGAACTCGCTCACACACACATACAGAGAAAGAGAGAGAGAAAGAGATTGAAAGAAGAAAAAGAGAGAGAAAGATAGAAAAAAAGGAGTGGGAAAGAAATAATTAAAAAATAAAATATATGGGTATGATGAAAAGAACTGTAAAAAGCAGAGATATGATCGTCATATTGAACCTATATAAAGCATTGTACCGGTCTAAGTTGCAGTGCCGTGTTCAGCTTTGAAATCAAGATTTACAAAAGGTCAAACACATGCTCGAGAATATTCGAAGGAGGACAGCGAGAATGATAAAGGAGTGTCGCGGTATGCCGTATGAAGACATGTTATGTTATGCTATGTTATGTTATCATTTCATATGTTCGGTTATTTTCTCATTCATTCATTCATTCATTCATTCATTCATTCATACGTCGTCCATTCGTTTGTTTCTTCCTTTTCCTTGGTTTATTTGTTCGTTTGTTCAATCACTCACTCATTCATTCACTCACTCACTCACCCACTCATTCACTTTTTCACTCACTCACTCATTTATTCATTCAATTTCATTATTGTTTGTTTTCATTTTTCTTGCATCTTTCAATTTATTGTACATATTATTATCTTTTATAAATTTCAATCTATCCATCCATCTTTCTGCTTATTCGTTTGTTTGTTTGTTCGTTCGTTCGTTCGTTCATTCATTCATTCGTTCGTTCGTTTGTTTGTTTGTTTGTTCGTTCGTTCGTTTGTACGTTCGTTCGTTCGTTTGTTTGTTTGCATCCTTTATATTTATTCATCCATCTAATCATTTATTAATTTATTTATTAGTTTGTCAATTTCATTCATTTACTCATTCGTTCAAAAATTCATTCAACTTCATTTCATGTCTCCATTCAGTCTATCCGTCCATCCGTCCATCCGTTCATCCGTCCATCCATCCATCCATCCATCCATCCATCCATCCATCCATCCATCTATCCATCCATCCATCTATCCATCCATCCATCCATCCATCTATCCATCCATCCATCTATCCATCCATCCATCCATCCATCATCCATCTATCCATCCATCCATCCATCCATCCATCTACCCATTCATTCATTCATTCATTCGTTTATCCGTCTTCCAACTTTTCATTCCTTCATTTACTTTTCACCCATCCATCCATCCACCCATCAATCCATCCATCCATTCATCCGTCCTCCAACATTTCATTCCTTCATTTACCATCCATCCATTCATCCGTCCGTCAACCGACCGACCGACCGACCAATCACCGCAGACTTCCTGAAGAGCCCAGACACGCTGGTCCTGAAATCTAGACTACCCGACGAACTCTCGCAATACTTCTCGCACTTCGTCATCGATCGGAAGAGGGGGCAGCTGATTGTGGGGGCCAGGTTATGATGATGATGATGGGGATGATGTTTGGTGGTTATGATGATGGTTATGGTGATGATGATGATGTTTTGGTAGTGGTGGTGGTGGTGATGATGATAATGATGTTTGGTGATGATGATGATGGTTATGGTGATGATGATGATGATGTTTGGTGATGATGATGATGGTTATGGTGATGATGATGATGATGTTTGGTGATGATGATGATGGTGGTGGTGGTGGTGATGATGATTGGTTTTAGCTAGTTACTTCTTCTTGTTACTGTCAGATGATATTTAATAATCATCATCATCATCACCATCATCATCGTCATCGTCATTATCACAGTCATAATCTTTATCGTCATCATCATCATATCTCTAGCACCATCAACATCATTACCATCATTAACCCTTGCACCATGATCGTCATCACCATCATCATCATCATCACCATCATCATCATCATCATTACCACCATCTGCATAGGCATCATCATCACCACCATCTACATAGGCATCATCATCACCACCATCATCATCATCATTACCACCATCTACATAGGCATCATCATCACCACCACCACCACCATCATCAACATAGGCACCACCACCAACATCACCATCACCATCATCATCGCCAGGAATCAGCTGATAAGGGCAGACCTCCACGACATGAGACCCATCGAGTCAGTCACGTGGTCACCTGACGCGGGGAATTACACCATCTGTGTGGCTAAGGGCAAACCGGAAGTGAATTTCGAATTTTTTTTTTTAAACATTTTTTTTTTCGGCAAAAAGCCTCAGAGAGAAGGGAAACTAGAAATGTGATAATAACAATAATAATAATAATAATAATAATAATAATAATAATAATAATAATAATAATAATAATAGTAATAATAATAATAGTAATAGTAATAGTTATAGTAATAATTATAGTAATAGTAATAATGATAATAATGATAATAATAATAATGTTAATAATAATAATAATAATTTTTTATTTACCAAAAAGATGAAATCAATCGAAAATTATTAATAATATATAAGAAAAGAAAGAAAATCCATTAAATAATAATAATAATAATTATTATTATTATTATTATCATAATAATAATTATAATAGTATCAATATAATATAATTTGGTGTTGTTATTATTGTTATGACAACAACAACAGCAACAACAGCAATAATAATGTTGTTGTCGTTGTTGTTAATAATATTATTATTGTTTTTGTTGTTATTGTTGTTATTGTCGTCGGAGACCGTGTCATCTTCACCACCACCACCACCACCATCTTCACCACCACCACCATCTTCACCACCACCACCATCACCACCACCATCTTCACCACCACCACCATCACCACCACCATCTTCACCACCACCACCATCACCACCACCATCTTCACCACCACCACCATCTTCACCACCACCACCATCTTCACCACCACCACCATCTTCACCACCACCACCATCTTCACCACCACAACAACACCTCAGGCCGAATGTCAAAATTTCATTAAGTTGCTTCTGATGGACGGCGATGATGACGTCATCTCGTGCGGCACCCACGCCTACCACCCCATCTGTACCCGGCGGAAGGTAAGTGGGTGGGTGGATGGGTGGTTGGGTGGTGTTGTTGTTGTTGTTTTGTTGTTGTTTCGTTGTGTTGTTATGGTTGTTTTTGTTTCGTTGTAGTTGTTGTTGCTGTTGTTGTTGAAGATGATGATGACGTCATGTGTCATACAATACTCGCGTATGTCCCACTTATATGCTTTGTTATGATGATTATGATTGTTGCTATGTTCATTCTCATTATTTTTTATCTATCTATCTATCCATCTATCTATCTATCTATGCATCCATCCATCCATCTATGCATCCATCCATCCATCCATCTTTCTTTCCAATACAATTTTTATACAAAACACACACACACACATTGCATGTGACAGGCGGGGATCTCCCTGCAATCGAACCTGGTCACTGCACGACAGCAGGCCAGGTACTCTACCGCTACGCCACTGTTATTCATGTCATTATGATTACTACAGCGATACAACAGTCACAATTGCATGTAAGAAACGCTGTGAAACATGACAGATTTGAATGCATCTCCTCTCGGACTGGATTTCATTTGAATTATTGAGTTTAACGCAACTTTTTCGGGCAATATACTAACAGTGTAAAGGGAATGACAAATTTTTTTTATGGGTGTGTAAATTCGTGTTAGCAAAATGAAAACTTAAACAATGCACTCTCTATTATCTCTCTCTATTTTTTTATTTCTTTAATTATTTCTTCCCCACTCCTTTTTTCTATCTTTCTCTTTTTTCTTTCAATCTCTCTCTCTCTCTCTCTCTCTCTCTCTCTCTCTCTCTCTCTCTCTCTCTCTCTCTCTCTCTCTCTCTGTATGTGTGTGTGTGTGTTGAAGCGTGTGGAAAAGAGTGAAAGAGAGAGAAAAAGAGAGAGAGAGTGTGTGTGTGTGTGTGTGTGTGTGCGTGTATGTGTGTGTGTGTGTGTGTGTGTGTGTGTGTGTGTCTGTGTGTGTCTGTGTATGTATGTATGTGTATATCTATGTCTACGCATATACAATACATGTATTTTTTTTATCACCTCAACCCATCAACCCATTTTTAAACAACATTTGGACACTGGCAAAAAAACTCCCAATAAAATGCCTACGGACCAGTTTTAATACCCTTCAAAACAGTGTTATGAAGTTAATGCACAAACACATAAACACGCACATGTGTTCATTCGTGTGAAAGTTCAAATGCCCACATGTGGCCCGCGAAGGCAGCCCCTCATATACAGAATCAAAAAAATACCAAGATTAAAGAGTTGAAATCAGAATGGCCCCTTGGTTAACTATTTCTATAACTTGATAGTCCCTTTCTTAAGATCGAAAGCTTTCCTTCAAAACACACGCAGAGTATATGTATGTCATGTTAAATTGGCGTGACAAAACAAAAAAGTTTCAAGTGTCAAATAGGGCTCCTAAACTTGTAACACGATGCAGTTTCCGTCCAGAATGCTTCATATTGTGACACATGACGTCATGTTGTTGAGGTTTTAAAAAAAGCCTATAATTTAAAAGAATTAACAACACACTAACGGATTAATGTGCGAGGCTGGGATCTTTTTGTCTTATTCGAACTCGGTTACTGAGTAACAGGAGCAGGCTGTCTTAACCACTAGGCTATCCGCGCCGACCATCGTCTGGCCCGTCCCTTCCACCACCTCCCATCACTCTTCCAATTAAATCTATAAGGGTAGTAACAAAATCGAAACGCAAAGAATAACCGCTGTTTAGACCGACTAGCAATTTAAACTTTGAAAATTAGAATCAGTTTCTAGTCTCCGGGTTTGCATTCAAGCGATTAAACAATAATTTGTAGACAACATTTCACGACTGGGTACTACAAGACGAGGTGACCCCATCGTTCGGCAAATGATTCCACCACCGCCCACCTGTAAGATCTCATCATGCTAATGACCGAAAGTTCAGTGGGGGAATGTTAAAAGAAGGATCTCAATAACAACAAACTTCTCTGCCAAACATCGAAAACAAATTGAAATCGCGTTTGATAAGCTACATATTCATGTGCCTGCACTTCTACACTATCATTCTCTACTTTGTTTGTTTTTTTTTCTAAAAAAAATCAGATAAACTCACTCAAATCAATCAGTCAATCAAAATATACTTACTTGCACATCTTCATATATACATATATTTATCTATACAAACAAACATGAATATATACATACTCGTACATACATATATACATACACACATACAAACAAGCAGAGGCATACAAACACATTAACACATATATAAACACACACAAACAAGCAGACAAATACAAACACACACTCAAACACATACACAAACACACATACAAGCAGACACACAAATACAAGCGCACACACACAAACATACAAACACAAAAATACAAACACAAACATACATACACAAACATACAAACACAAACATACAAACACAAACATACAAACATGCACACGCACGCATACTTCCTCTGGTTTGTTTATTAGCAGTACTCCAGCGCTTGCTCTAACCAGATTTATCTTTTGCAATGATGTATATGCTCTGCAGATCTATTTGCGTACCGGCACACTCACACACAAACATACATACATGCATACATGCAAACATACATACATACATACATACATACATGCATACATGCAAACATACAAACATACATCGTTTGTTCACATTCAAAGCCGGCTGGATTGTTTTAATTTCCTGGTTATTTTTGTTAAATTTAAGATTTTAAATTGTTTTTACATATGATTTTTGGGTCATCGGCTGTAATTTTGTCCCGGGTTTGTTTTTCCGTCATTTTTTATCGTTTTTCTGCCCTGCCTCGGCCAATTTTCTCGTTTTTTGTTTTTTTATCAATATTATAATTTATTCACAGCTCATAGCTACTACAGGTCACCGGCCTGCGCCAGGTGTGAGCGGTTTTTATTATTATCGGAAAGTTCACTACATTTTAACTTATTTACCTTCTACCGACATTTATTTTTAATTTAGTTTTGAAATTAAAATTTAAAATTAAAATTTATTTATAAAAAAGAAATTTCCTAAACCAATTTTTAAAATCTGTGTAAAAAAAAATAAACTATAAGGGGAGAGATTGGGCCAAAGTTTGCTGCAATAGTTGTCTCCTCCCACACTGTTACCTAGGTTTTTGTATTCACTCATTCACTCATTTGTTCACTCACTCATTCATTCATCAATAAAATAAAGAAAAGAAAAAAAAATAAACAAAAGTTGAAAAAGTTATATGTATTTTCCACTGGTTAAATATTTAAAGATAATTCAGTCATACATCCGTTCGCTCGTTCATTCATTCCGTCACTCATTCATGTATTCGTTCATTCATCCATTCGTTCGGTTGTTTATTTATTCATTCATTTATTCATTCACTCATTCATTCGTTTGTTCGCTGGCCCGTTCATTTGGTCATTCGCTTGTTCATCCATTCATTCATCCATCCACCCCACTTGGTTTGTTTCCTTTCCTTCGTTTCTTGGTTGTTTTTAATCACATATGGCTCCAACGTTACAACAGTGCCCCGTCTGCTTTAACCACTATAGAAGCACTCCAGACGGGAAGTTATGTCGGCACGGAGGTAAAGTGAAAGGACAGGAATGCTCGGGTCCCGGAAAAAAGTTGATCCATCGGGCGCGAGGGCTGCTTCGCCTCTCGGTGCCACACCCGACCCCAAGCCTGGGCTGCCCACACGGTCGACGGCTGCATCGGTCTCCGGTGATCCTCTCGACCTAGATTACTCTGGTGTTTTTGACAAGCTGACGGCCGTGCTGAAATGTGTACCGGTGTACGACCATATCCCTAAGCCATGCAGGGAGAAGTTTGCACTTGATCTGAACGCCTTGCTGACGGCTGTTTGTAATGACCCTGGTGACCCGGCTCACTGGGTTAGACTCCACTGTTTTGTCCCATACATCTTACAAAAAACTTCCAGAGGGGGTCGCCGGGTCAACCAGGGCAATCTGGTCAACAAGCGTCTAAGCGAATATTCAACTATTGGTCTTGAAACCCTGGTACTGTGCTTTGATGGGTTCAATAATGCCAAATCACAAAAGCACAACCCCGATCGGTAGATCAACGCTGTGTCATCTTGTATTGAACAAGAAAACCTGTCCTCGGCTGTCAGACTTGTCTGTTTGCCGGAGGGCCTGACGGAGAGCTCGCCGGCCACCTTCGATAAATTATGTTCCATCCACCCAAAAAGTCCGGTGGACAGCCGGGTCTTTCCCGCATTGACACCAACGGCTGGTTGCGTTTCTCCCGCCGAGGTGCTGAGGGCCGTTAAATCGTTCAAAAACGGTTCTTCTGGAGGCCTGGATGGCCTACGACCCCAGCACCTTAAAGATGTTTTTTTAGGCCCCTTCCCAATCGACGACACACTGAACTCCTTAACCCAATTCATTAATTTGATCCTATCTGGAGCTTGCCCACTCTCCGTCCGCCGGTTCTTTTTTGGAGGCCGGCTAATAGCTTTAAATAAGAAAGACGGAGAGGTCAGACCGATTGCGGTCGGGAACGTTTGGAGGAGGTTGGCCGGCAAATGTGCCTTGGCCCTGGTCGTGGTCAAACTCAAGACCAAATTCTACCCGACTCAGTTGGGTGTCGGGATTAAGGGTGGCGCTGAGGCCGCTGTTCATGCGGTTCGAAGATTGGTCACCGACCTCCCCGATCAATGGAGGTTTCTGCAACTGGACTTTAAAAATGCCTTCAATGCCTTGTGCCTTGAGAAGAGATTCGATGTTTTTTGCCCCAATATCTATAATTTTTGCCATTCTGCCTATGGCGGAGTCTCTTCCCTTGGCTACCACTCTTTGGTTGTAGAATCGTCCGAGGGGGTACAGCAGGGTGATCCCCTTGGTCCTTTGCTGTTCGCACTAACTCTTCATCCACTCTTAGAGAAAGCTTCGTCTACTTTTGTTTGCGCTTATCTGGATGATATTAGCATTGCTTCGGACGGCCAAACTCTGGCCGATAGCTACGAATATTTGAAGCATAATTCCGCTGCAATTGGTTAAGAGTTAAACATTAAAAAATGCAAACTTCACTGCTAAAGTTTATTTCAGGTGCCACATGCGCTGGCTGGAATACCAGCCATCATCAAAACTGAGTTTTTTAGGGACACCCTTGGTCGAGGGCAATTATCAAATAAAGTTTTTTGACCAAAAGCTCTCTGAGCTTAAATTTGCCCTGGGTCGTGTTTCCTGTCTTTCGGCCCATGATGTCTTGACTATTATCCGCAATGCTCTCAGTTTGCCCAAATTGATGTACTTCCTGCGTACATCCAAACACATTGACCCTTCTAAATTCGGCGAATTTGACGGAGCCCTGCGCACCGCCCTGTCGTCGATTTGCAATGTTCAAGTGACCGACAGTGGTTGGTCCCAGGCTCAGCTGCCGGTGCGATTTGGTGGGCTGGGGTTGCTTAGCGTGGTTCAGCTGGCTCCCGTTGTTTATAATTCTTCTACCGCTGCCTCTCTCAACCTGCAGTCTTCTCTGCTTCACCAGTGTTTTCGTCGCTGCGATATTCCTCCCCCAGTGCCAACTTCGGAGGACCGTACGTATGCATGTCCAAATTTTGAACCAAGAACTAAAAAAGATCTTTCAAAATTTTTTGTCTTCATGTGGCGACGACTTTTCCACCGCTCGTTTGTTGGCCATGTCCAGCGTTGCCAGCTGTGGGTGGTTGAGATCGTGGCTCAACACCTCTGTGGGCACCAGGCTTGACGACGAGTCTGTGAGATTTGCCATTGGCTTCAGACTTGGTCATTCAGAATAAATACACGTGCCGATGTGGCGCAGGGGCGGATGAGTTTGGGCACCACGGTTTGGTTTGTCGCCTGGGTGGGGGCCGTCAACTACGTCACTCAGCGCTAAACGAATACATTTGTCGGCTCTTCTTCAAGGCTTCAATCCCGGTTCTCAAGGAACCATCCGGCATTTCTGCGCATGATGGTAGGCGCCCGGACGGATGCACACTAATACCTTGGAGAGCCGGCAGATGTTTGGCGTGGGATGTTACGGTCCCTGGCATCCTCGCCGAACGATACGTAAACCTGACAAGTAAAGAATGCGGTTTGGCCGAGGCCAGGGCAATAGACGAGAAAATGAAAAAATATGGGAACGCCCTCCCCTCGATGGAATTCTTGCCAATATGTATCGAGGTTCTTGGCCCGATGGACCCCAACACCCTTAAATTTCTTAAGGCAATATGTAAAATGATCAGCGTCAGATCAGGTGACAGCAGAGAACTGTTTTTCGCAACTAACCACATTTCGTGCTTGTTGCAGCGGTTCCTGCGTGTCTGTGTGCTTGAAAATATCCAACTAAATGCCGACATGTGCAATTAACGACAAATCAAAGTGTTAATCCAGTTGTTACTTGATGTTTGACGGTTCAGTGTCACTCATCATGTTTTGGTTTTAACATACATACATACATACATACATACATACATACATACATACATACATACATACATACATACATACATACATACATACATACATACATACATACATACACACATACATACATACATGCATACATGCAAACATACATACATACATACATACATACATACATACATATATACATACATACATACATACATACATACATACATACATACATACATACAAACAAACATACATACATAAACTACTCATGCAAATAAAAACACAAAAAACGGAAATGGAATAAAGGGAAGAAAAGAGAAACAGGTAGAGAGGTAGAGAAAGAGGGAAAAAACAAGGAAATACAACAAAAAAGAGAAAAAAAGAGAGGGAAAGACAGAAAGTGTGATAAGGAGAAAGAGAGAGAGAGAGAGACAGAGAAAGAGAGAGAGAGAGCTAAAAAAAAGAGAGATGAGTAGACAGATGACAAATAGTTGACCGAGAAAAATGTGAGAGGGATGGATGGAGGAATGAATGAAGGAAGAAAAAAGGTGAAATATTGAAAAACAGTGAATTGACAAATAGAAAAAGATTGAAAGAGAGAGACAGAGAGAGAAGAATAAATGCAAGAATAAAAAAAGTGCGGAAAATAAAAACCAATAGGTAAAGAGCTGTTGCAAAAAAGATAGAGGAAAAGAACGAAAGAAAGCAAGAGTGAAGGAAAGAGTGAAAGAAAAAGAGACTAAAAAAAGAAAGAAAAAGTGAAAGAAAGAAAGAGTGAAAGAAAGAAAGAGTTAAAGAAAGAGTTAAAGAAAGAAAGAGTTAAAGAAAGAGTGAAACGAAGGAGAAAGAAATAAAGAGAGAAAAGAGGAGGAAAAAGAGTGGAAGAAAATTGTAAGTAGGAAATGAATAAATGTAAAAATAGGTCTGAAATTCAAAAATGAAATGTTTGTGAAGGGAAGAGTGTAAGGCAATAAATTGAGGAGAAAATTTGAAGAACAGAAATGAAAAAATTGCAAAGAGATCGACTCAGAGGTACTGCGAAACCAATATATCAGAAAGAGGGGGGAAAGAAAAGAGAGGAAGAAAGATACAAAAACATAGTTCCAAAAAAAATAAAGAGAGAGAGAGAGAGGAGAAAATGAAACATTAGATTGAAAGAAGAAAGGAGAATGAATGAAAAGAGAGAGAGAGAAAAAAAAGTAAGAAAGAGGTCATTTGCAAAAAACTCTATAAAAACGCAAAAAAAAGAGGAAAGAGAGAGAGAAAGAAAGAGAAAGAAAAAGAAAAAAAGAAAAAGAGAGAGATGAGTAATAGATGTCAAAGAATAGTAGCAAACAGTTATCGGCTGAGTGTATTTGATTGATACGAGAATGTTATTACTCTTAATTTCTCTTCCTCGCTTACTTAGATCTACTTAGACTAACCCGCCACTACTTCTGCTGCTGCTGGTAGTAGTAGTGGTAGTAGTAGTTGTAGTAGTAGTAGTAATTGTAGTAGTAGTAGTAGCATGCGATAGGCGGAGATCTCTTGCGTTCGAATCCAGGTTCTGCGACAACCAGAGATTGAAACAAATGACCATCAGCGTTGAGTATGAAGTGCAGTTTTCAGTTTTGCTGTTTTGTTGAATTTGTGATTAATTTCCTGCTGGGCTCAACCACTGAAACAGAAAACATTTGCAGGAGTTATCATTCACTTCAAACTCTGACGCTCTTGCTTCCGTTAAGTTTTTTACGGGTAGAATACGATCGTCAGCATGAAATGTCATGTAAACTCTCTTGTCCAGTAAATTTCTCAAATAACTTTTAACGCATTTTAAACCAGGAAAGAGTACTTCCTCTCTAACTTCATTTACACTTTGAGACCTAGGTAACAGATTACTGATCTTCGCGAAGTTTTCAGTTTGCAGATTTTGTTTTCACGGTTTGCAGCGGATGCGGTTTTAAATGAAATTTTTCAGATTTAATTTTCTGTTTTTTTTCCTCCAAAATTAATCAAGACAGAATTTGCACTAGTATATCATTAAGCAATTAAGTTCTGTTGAAAAATGTCAATCTTTTGTTGCTGTTGTTTTTAATTAAAGTGCACGCTATGTCTTGGTTTTTTGGTCAATACCGTTTTTGGGAAAGTTGAACTTTTTTTTAAATTTCATAGCAATTATGTAGATTAAAGTAATAAAAAGAGAGAAGATCTGTGTGGAATTTTATGGAAGATTGTTGGCAGAATTTTGTAAAAAGTTTCGACTTTGTCAAGTTTGTAGGGTGCTTATATTTTCGAAACTGTTTCAAAAAACTTATTTTTCAAGTTAAATGGTTAATGAATAAATATACGATTTTGTGCAATTGGTTCGTGAAAGGCAGTTGCTCTTGTTATATTTCCAGAAAGACATCTTTTTCAGGTTTTTAAAAGCAAAGGTTCGAGTCCTGAGAACAAACATTACAGAGGCATAACCTTGGGATCAGTTTTGGGATTTCGGTAGAATGGAATGGACTGGATCGAGAGGGCAGACCCAAATCAGCTCAGCAGATCTTCCTCTTGAATGAAGAAACGTCTTGCTCTGCTGTGCTTCCATTATGACGTTGTGAGCCGCACTGCATCGCGTTGGGAGATTCGGGCTTCATGGAAATATTTGCAAAGCAGTTTAATTCTAATTTTAAATGTCAATTTAAAACTAATGAAGCCGATAAGCCGATACCTCAAACAAATGCATTCAAAACGAAGTAACAGTAGAAATATAATAATAATAACAACAAAATATAAAAATAAAAATAATTTTAAATAATAATAATTATTATTATTCTAGATAATAATACTAATAAAACAATAATAAGAAAAATATGTGTATATTTTTTTTTATTTCTTCTCTTGCTCTCATCATCTTCATTAAAAATAAGCACGTATCAAATACAAATATTGATAAATAACATTGTTTGCTTGTTTGTATGTGTGTATGTATGTGTGTGTGTATGTTTGTTTGTATGTATGCATGTATTATTACTATTATTGAAACATTTATGAAGCGCTAATTAAACGAATCTCAAAAGCGCTATCTAACAAAAACTGAACTTAACAACATAATTGAAATAACAAACGAGAAATCAAAATACATCGCACAGAAATAAGATTAAAATTTGGTCATAAACAAAAAAGTAATCGATTCAATATAACGAAAATACAAAATAATATTTAGAACATGTCGACTAAACAGAAAGAATCGATCAGTAATGCATCACAATGAAAATAAATGAGTTTTCAGTTTCTTCTTGAAATCACGCAGGTTTCGGTCCGGATTTCTGAGAGCAGCAGGCAGGTTGTTCCAAACAGTTGGTTCAGAAACAGCAATGTTACGAGATCCTATATGGAGAATCGTTGTTGGGATCAACAGCAAGTTTGAAACATCGGATCTCAAGTGTGCTCCAGATGCTTTTGAAGGTCTCTTTTTGAACCTGTCAGACAAATAAGATGGAGCTAGACCGTTGATAGACCGTTTGTAGACAAGTGTTGAAATTTTGAACAACACTCTTTTGTCGACGGTTAGCCAGTGAAGTTCCTTCAATATTGGAGACACATGATCGTATTTTAGAGCTCCAACAACAACTTTTGCGGCTCGATTCTGTATTGATTGAAGCACAGCCATGGATCAATCAGGTAAGTCATAAAACAAACTGTTGCAATAGTCAACGCGTGAGTGCACAAATGCATGAACCAACATCTGCAACGTGGATGTATCTAGAAATTGTCAAATTTGATTGATTTTCCTGATTTGAAACATGCATTCGGCTGAGAGCTTCTTAATGTGTTGTTTCATTGACAAACCTGAATCAATCGTGAAGCCCAGATTAGCTGCTGTCTGGCAAAATGGGATGACCTCATCATTAACAGTTATTGAATTTATATCTATTCTTGAAAGTTGTTGCCATGTTCCAATTGGTAAAAAAACAGTCTTGTTTTGGTTTAGTTTTAAACCATTGTTTTGCATCCACTTATTGACCCCAGACAAACATTTAACCAGTTTGACCAATTCTGATTTAAAAGAATCTGGCCTGCTCGTAACAATAATTTGCAAGTCGTCCGCAAAAGCATGACCTGAAAAACCAAATGATTCTATTATCTTTAGTACTTCAGATGTATAGATCAGGAATAGAATAGGACCTAGAACCAAACCTTGTGGCACACCAGACAGCATAACATTAACCTCAGACAATTTACCACCGAATGATACCTGTTGTGATCTACCTACCAGATACGACTCAAACCACCTCAGAACAGCACCAGAGAATGTATGTATGTATGTATGTATGTATGTATGTATGTATGTATGTATGTATGTATGTTTGTTTGTATGTATGTATGTATGTATGTATGTATGTATGTATGTATGTATGTATGTATGTATGTATGTATGTATGTATGTATGTATGTATAGTTGTATGTATGTCTGTATATATGTGTGTTTGTATGTATGTATGCATGTACGTGAACGTGGTATTTTAGTCCTTGAAAATCATTCATTCTTAATAATCCCATGACGTGTAGACCATTTGTCATGCTTTCATTCATCCCTCGTTCCACCCCTCGTTCATTCACTCATTCTTTTTCTTTTTCTTTCTTTCAGATATTTTCCATGTTTGCCATTAATTTAAATTTAATTGATTGAGATCATATTAGTGTTCAATTAATTTTTATTTGATTTTTTCATTTTAATTTTTTTTTTATTTCGTTAATTAAATTTTTATTTCATTCACTCAATTATTTATTCATTTATTCATTCATTCATTCATCCATTAATTCATTCATTCATTCATTTGTTCATTCACTCACTCATTCATACATTCATTCATAATTTCTTCAAAACCCTGATCGGCCATGTTGGCAGCTGATTGCGAGATTAAATCATGTTCGATTCGTTTGCTCCTCTGTTCCTTCGTTCGTTCGTTCGTTCATTCATTCATTTA